TGCACCCAGCTGTGGGTGTCCCCCCTCGCATAGGGACAGTAGGCTGCATGTATGTGACAATGTTAGCATGATCTCTGCTTCATCTTCCAAAATACCGCTTAGTACTTTTCATTAATTGTTTTTCAATCCAGAAAATCTTCTATTCAATCCAATGTATTGATATATTAAACATCATATTAACCATGCCTATATGCAAGTGTTCCTGAATTCTCACTGGGGAGCTCTAAATCCATCACAACATCTCAGCTGCAAGAGGATGGGGAGACCGGTATCACACATGGTAGGCGTGAATGGCAATTACCTAGCTTTCTGGTTTTGGTGGCGTCAGAAGAGTTAAAGATTTATTTTTCTCAGGAAGAACAGACTAAAACAAACAGCAGTGACAGTAATTGCTCTGGCTTGTTTTATTTTTGTTGTCAGTGGTGGGGTTTTTATATGCCATCACTTTCATCAGCACTTAATTGCTGGCACAGAGCCTCAGCTGCCAAATTACCTGTCTCATTGCAATGTAAAGGGCTGTTACATCGTTTGCCTTCTGAAGAAGCTGTGGCCGTTCCAGAGTTAAGGCTGTGTTATTTTTTGCTTAACACAGGTACTAAGCTTCTCCATCTTGTGTTAAATATAAATAAAAGATCAGGTTGTCCTTCAAAGAACTGAGCATGCTGGTGAGAGAGAAGGCTGCCGACAGCAGGGAGCCTGCCAGCCCCAGAGCTGGCGAGAAGAGGTTCTGCAGTGGCACAGGAGAAGTTTATAGTAACTATGAAAGCTACCAGCTGAACTGAAAAATAAGGTCCACCTACAAGCACAGTGGGCAAGGGGAGAGCGGTGTGTAAAGCTGTTCTGTTTTCTTTAAATAGAAATCATCAGAGAGAAGAGGTCTAGGTCAGTGTTCTGGCCACAGCTTGCTTCTGCCATGGCTCACTGGATCTGTCACGGGACTTTCACCAAAAGCTCTGCGTGTACATTCCCTGAGATTTTACCCTCCATACCTAAAGGGCTTTGTACAGTCGAGTGCCACTGCATCGCTGCAGAAGGCAGGCGCTGGGACTGGCTGGGTGGGTAGTGGCTGGATGGTCTCTCCACACCTCTTATTTTAACAGGTTCAGGTGTCTCTGAGTTTCATCTCCTTTCCATCTGCTTTAGATTCAGGTTCATGTCACTGCAGCGTTGCAATTTACCCAGAGCTTGTGCACAGATAAAGTGCTAATAGGAATTTTATCTAAGTATAATTTTGCTAGCCTCATTCAGACCAGGGACTTGAACCAGTCTATTGAGGTTTTGATGAATGCACTAATCACCCACCATTTGCTCTTCAAAGATAGCGATTCCTTAGTTATTCCTTTCTATCTGAATTAAAACTGCTTGGCTCACTCAGTTTGTCATCTCTGCGGCAAGTTTGCAGCATAGCGAAGGGCAGAGCTGCCCACCGCTCACCCAGCCTGAGGGTCTGGCCAAGTTCTAGTCTCCCTGTCCTGGATACTCTCCTGTGGACATGAAGCCACAAAGGCGAGAGTTTGGCAAATGACCTGTTGTCTCCAGGACATGAAATTATAGGGTCAAGACATTACATTAGGGTACACACAGCTTCCATGTGCTCCTGGGTCAGTTCACGTCCTTTGTCTGTGGTTTCTAGAGCAGGAACCCTCAAGGTTTAGCTTCTGGCTTCAGATCAAGCATCTCGTTTTCTACTTTCTTTCCACTAAAAAGTTTTCATCGTGATGTATTGAACTTGCCAGCAATTCTGGGAGATGCAAAACACAGATCATCTAGAATATTGTGTCTGGTCTGAGAAAGAAAAAAAAAAAAAGATACTGTAATTTAACTGTTGTGGTGGCAATATTTTAGGAAAAGCAGAGTGCCAAACTGTGAAAAGAAGCCCCCATCTGCACTCCAGTGAAGATGTGAGGCTGTACCTCAGCCTGGTGAGGTTGTGACTGGTGGCCTCTGGGATGGAAAATATTTCAATACTTTGCTTTGAAAATGTGCAGAGATGTTAACTTTTAACTGGGAAAGATGCATGTTATCTGCCATAATCAACAAAGTGCACCCGTAGTTGAGTCAAATGTGACATTTCATCTGTGCTTCACAGTTGTCTGAGGAAACAATCACAGTGGACACCATCTACTTCTCATGCAGGAGAATCACACAAACCCTGTAGAGGCCATTTCCTACATACAATCTCAAAACAGGGCTTACAGCACCTTCAGCTCGTGTATGGGCCTTCCACCGAGAACTGAATTTCACCCTTTATGGTTAAATCTGGGTTAGCATGACACCGACTGTCTAACATACCCATTTTGCATGAGAACATGGTGTACATTTGCCAGTGTTTTGAGCGCTGTGTAGAGTGACTCTATAGAGAGACCCATGAGAGAAAAGTTGTTCTGGGAACTACAACAGTTTTGTACCAAGATCTTTAAAGCACGTGAATAGTACTTGCCAAAATGTTACTTCCTTGTACAGGATAAGAGTTTCTCTAAGCAGGATTCAAAATCGAACAACATTGCTATAA